TCTTCTTCTTCTTCTTCTTCTTCTTCTTCTTCTTCTTCTTCTTCTTCCACTACTACTACTCCCCTTCCTCCTTGTTACTGCCCTGTCTGAACTGAAAAAGACTTTGGTAAACACTCTAGATGTCTCCCCTAAGAATTTAATTGAAGAGTAGGGATCCAGGAAAACTGCAATGGGTAAAAAATAATAGTACAGAGGTTTTCTTTCCCATCCTCTCTTTGTGTATCTTATAATAACAGTAAACTTCACAATCCAAACAGGAGGGTTCCAATCAGGGGTGGGATTCAAATTTTTTAACAACCAGTTCTGTGGGCGTGGCTTAGTTGGTGGGCTTGGCTTCGTGGTCATGTGACTGGGTGGACATGGCCAACTCAACATCACTCACATTGAGGCACGGATCTCCTCACCTGGCCTCTCATGACTGTGGGGATGCTGCAACAGTCGTAAGTGTGAAAAATGGCCATAAGTCACTTTTTTCAGTGCCATTTTAACTTTGAATGGTCACTCCACACAAGCAAAGTACCAGCAAAGGAGGGGAAAAAAACTCCAGAGAAGTTCCTGAGACAGGAAGTCTAGTCCTGCCAAGAATGTAATAAGGGTTAACGGAGAGGCAGTTTCTGTAAGCAACACCAGAATGTTTCCTTCCTGCCTTCCTTACAGGATTAGGCCAATAATTTTTTCTAACAACCGAATTGCTTAGAATGTTAACAACCGGTTCTAGCGAATAGGTGCGAACTGGTAGAATCCCACCCCTGGTTCAAATAACATATTCTTCCTTACCATAAAAATGAGGACAATTTCTTTTTCCATCAGATTAAAAGATCGTGATTCAGAAGTAATCTGAGATACTGGAGAAATTAGAAGCACCACTCTGAGAAGAACATGTCAGAATCCCTCCTAGGGCATGGAATTGATAAACTTACTAGAAATCTAGTGTTCCAGGAGACTTCAATCTATGTTACATTTGTGGCCCAAAATTTCACTTTTGCAGGCTACTTTCCACAAAGTTTAACTTTTCTTTTCCTGAGTTTCTATGCCATTCTTGTGGAACATACTGATTCCTTTTTATGATTTCCAGTAGTTCAATGAGTAGAAAGCGAAGGACTTAAAAGTTGAGATGAGAATGAGTGAAAGGAATTGTTCTCACAAAATTTATTTTTAAAAGAGCCACCACTGATGGCAATCTGGCCCACACCAAGTTCCTTATTTAGTGCTCTTCAAGGTCAGTGGGGTGTGTTCCAGTCATCCCAAGAGGGCTTTGAAGGAAAAAGAATGGCAGGAGTTTAACACCATCATTTGACAAGGCCTTCTAAGTATAATGTGGCCTTGCTCTTTGCAAAATTCCTTGTTATATATTATGAATTATGGATAACTCCTGTAATCCTGCCAAAATATCTGAATCAGGATTAAAAATAAAACATTCACTTGAAATGTGTGAATGATTATGATTTGCTGATAATGCCTGGTGCAGTTGGAGTCACATTCAGTGTTGACTTGTAACACATTCATTCCTTGAACTTCGATACTCTTAAAGTTTTCTTAAAACTTTTTAGGGAGACATTGCGACTAGCCAAATTGAATTTGTTTCCCATCCCAAAGCTGCGGAGATAATGCAGGACGCAAATGAGCGAGGGCTGTTTAATAATGCAGCTAACAAACAGGATTGCTCGCAAAACGTTTCCTTCGTTTGAAGGACTTAAGATTATGTTGAATGGATTTTAATTTCTCAGACAGCTCAACCTAAACAAACTCACGCAGCATTTCCAAAAGCAGAGCTGTCAGCTTGGAGCTTCAGGAAAATCACACACTGGGAAATGTATGGCTGCCTGCAACCGGCTAGGCATTGTCAAATGAGCAAACAGCTGCCACATCCAATTGATGCTTTGAGGGTTGATACTTGTGATCCTAGAGATTGCAGCATGCCCACCAAATCATTTTTTTTTTTTTTTGGTACCAACCAGACTTTCTGCTTCAGCTGACTTTCTGTTTCAGAAGCTTTTGATTAAAATCATAATAACAGGAAGCTGCTCTGCTACAAAGCCAAGCACAAGCTTCTAATACTATATTTATTTCAAAGAAAGTACATGGGTTCCCCTTGGCCCCAAAGCATTCTTACAAAACAACAACGTTAGGAACTAATTTCCTACTGCTTGATCTGAGTAAGTGCCCTCAGCACAGAAAGAAAGACAAAAGTAAGCATAGGAGCAGAGAACAGAAGAACACCAATGGACACAACTATATTCTCACTTGTTTGGCTTCACTGTAAATAGTGATTTTGGGGAGGGAGGGAGGGAGGATAAACTTCCAGTGCAGATTGTGGCAAACCAGAAGTCTCCATGGGAGCAAAATATGGCACTGCGGTAAGATCAGTGACTAGATTTTCTAGCCAGCAAAGTGTCTCCAGATAAAAAAGAGATTGTGAAATCGCCCACTTGCACTCAGACAACTGTTCCTCTTGAGTCAACTGCAGGAATTGAGGTTTCTTGTGAATGAGCAGAGTGACTGGGAGTTGATGGATTTCCACCAAGGTCATAGCCACACTGTACCCTTATGAACATAAAATCCTGCCAAACTTCATTTCTTAATCACTTTTGGAAATTACTTATTAGCTGCTTCTCTGCTATTAACAACCTTTCAATTTACAAGGTTGATAATATGCAGTGGGTGATTTTCCTTTAGTCCTTAATGAGGAAAGTTTTAAAGATAAGTTTAAGGCTATTTTTTAAAAACACTTATTTTCAAATAAATAGCAAAAGGGTGATTAGAACATTGATTTTGGAAAGTTATCCATGGTCTAAGCGTCCAGATGGATTTGAAATAAGATTTTGAAATTAATTATAGGAATGTTTCCCATGGGAAAAAGTTGTTGTTTTGGATTATTAAAAGAAAACATGATAAGATATGAATTTGAGTGTTGGGTACTGTAGGGAACCAGAAGAACCCAAGGTTACAATTAAAGGGAAAGAATGGAGCAAAATATTTTAAAGCTGGAAGTATTGGAGGATATTTATGAGCAACAGATCCAGAAGTCATTCTTAAAAGTGTCTACCATTATAGATATAATGTCTGTAAAATATATTATGGAAAAGGAATATGTTTACCTGACAAGAAGAGACAGATCTGAAAGTGGATTTAAAAATAATGGGCCATAAAATGATATGGAAAAAGATACTACACTAGACATACACAGGAAACTTATTGATATCTTAACAACTAAACAGGATATATAAATAACAAGCTGAGTGACTTGGATAATTTTCATATATTGATTTACAAAAGAAGCATGTTTTGTGAGGGGAAAAAATGAAAAGAAAACAAGCTCTAGGACATAATTAATATTAATTAATTAATTAAACTAAACTAAATGTATATGCCAGCTAATTCTCAGTCTGAGATAATATCTATGTAAGTGTTTCAGTCTTATTACTTAAATAAATATTACTTAAATATTTCATTTTCTGTGAGAAAATTAAGACGGTGTGGTTCTAAGGTAATATACAGCTATCTGTTTAAGGTTAGCAAAATTTTAAAATGTTGACCAATTGATGACTTTGTGTTCATTGTTCTTTTGACAAATATCAGTAAGGTATTAAATTGTATTTAAATGATGTAAAAGCAATCTTTGGAAATTGCTTAAACTGTTCAAATTAACTAATTAAAAACATGCTAAGAAAATGATGACTAATCTTTGTGGTAACTAGTCTTAACTCTGAAAGAATGTGAATGCTGGTCCTAATCAGTATTACAGCGTTAAAGACCAATAACTTGAATTAATCCAGGATAACAATTAACTTTGCCATATCATGCAGGGGAATTCATGGAAGAAATCAATTCTTTTTGGAAGAGTTAGTGGTAAAAGAAAACCAGGCCACCAAAGAATGCAATGACTGGACATCATCAAAGCTGGCACCAGCCATAGAAAAACTTCAAAGAAGTAGTGCAAAATCGGAAGATTTGGTGGGACCTCTCCCATAGAATTATCTAGAGCAGGGCTGTCAAACTCCTGGCCCGCGGCCCACATGCATCATGCATTGGCCATGCCCACGCCCAGTTTAGCAAAGAGGGGGAAAGTCCCGATATGTCATGAGTTTGACACCCCTGATCAAGAGTCAAGCATGACTGAATGGATAGCATCATCGCCACCACCATCTTCATGAAGCTTAAAGCAATTGGGTTACAATACTTATTATACACAGCTTAGTAACTTAGTTGTATTTTTAATAAAGTGAAACTGAAAATGTTCTTGAAAAGTGTACCTATAAAAAAGGACATGGAATGGAATGGAACAGAATGGAATGGAGGTATAGAAAATCATGTCCTAGTCAAACAAGAACAATCATACCTAACACATTAAATGTGTGTATAATATTATGCTCATTGGTAGCATTATTTATGCGGCATTATTTTTTGAATTTCCAGCAGTTCCAGGGATTGCAAGCCAGAGGAAGGAGTTACAGGCTCTTCCAGACAGAATTACACCTGATTCCACCCTTGTCTACAAAGTCAAGTGATGTTCTGACAAATAATCTTCCTAGGGATGTGAAGGTGATATACTTCAGCCTCTACTAGAGCCTTCTTTTGTCTCATAAATGAGCTTTGATATAATTTATCTTTGGCATGGTTGGTTCCATCCTATTGTTCAAGGAAGGAGGCTGTGCCCATCCAAGGTTTAATTTCTGACTTATTTTGTCCAAGCCAATTCAATTGTTACCTAAATGGCAATGAACATGATCATTTATATTCTCTAGATTCTTGTGATTTCTACATTCCAAGTAGATGCCTAGCCCTCTGTGCTCGGCTGATAATATTTCTATCACTGTAGTCACCACCATGGCCCCCCAAGTGGTTGTTTAAACTCTTTGGAAGAATGAAGTATGCTCTCTTTCTATCCTCTTTTAATGATACAGTTGTACCTATTCCTGAACTCTTGACATCAAAAGGCACTTAATGACATCGGCATTGTCTGTGGAACAATTGTGTGTTGCTTTAAGTGACCTGTAAAATTCTGATCAGAGTGGTCTGGAGAAAGAGAGTGAAAGTTGAGGTTGATAGGGCCTTTCAGAAAGTAAGAGAATATGGTGACTTTCTCCAAACAATGAGAGTCAGTGTTATTCTGTTTTGCATTAGGTGGAAATGATGACCTTTGACATTGACTGCTACATAGAATATTGCTGCTTCTGAACAGGGAAACATTCATTTTCTCTCACTGATAAAGCAAGGCGTCTTTACTCATTAGCTGGAGGAAGATCAACACATTGATAATTAAAGGAAAAGACAAAAAAGAATAGAAAAAAATATATAAAGATTTCTGAGTAAAGAATCTACCTTTATTGTGGAAGGCCACATATCTTATGAGTCAAAACAGATTAAATGTTTGGGAGCATAACTCTATTATAAGTCTTGCTACTGGCCAAAACTCTTGGAGGAATGGAGGTGTCCACCCCAATATAAAGTATCATTCGCCAAACAATATGACAATCTTCTTCTTCTTGTGCCATATCCATCATTGGACATTGGTGATCATGTAAGCAATCCTATTTTTTATCAACGGCCGCATGAAAAAGTGCTGCTGAGTTTTGTCCAAACCAGACCCTTAGATTTTGAAGCCATGGATGGTCTTCTTCTGCCTGGACCTCATTGCCTTCAATCTTTCCCTGGAGGATTAAGTGAAGTATGCCGTATTTTTTCCAGGTGTTGCATCACATGTCCGAAATATTCTAATATTAGCTTTTTAATGCTTTTGACGATTTCCCTTGGCTTTGCTAGGTGGCTTATCACCTCCCCATTTCTGATTTTGTCAACCCAACTTATATGTAACAGCCACCTGTAAATCCACATTTCACATGCTTCTAGTCTCTTCAAGTGGTTTTTGGTCAGCATGACAATAAACAATTATTTTCATGGGTACACCCAGTTTACAGAAATGGCCTGGTTAACATTTAGCCCATGAGCAGCATTTAGCACCTCCTTTTTTTTTAAAATCTTTGAATTCAAAGCAGTGCCAAGCTGTAATGTGCTTAAATACATTAAAGGTGTAAACCCCTTTGCAAAAACATTGCTAGCCAAAATGTTCTCCCATCACTGTAAATCAGTTCTGAATGACTGCATAGAATTTGCATGTCAAGATGCAAGGGCAAAAAGATTTCGGCTACTTTGATTTTAAATTAACTCATCCATAGGTTACAATGAGGAAACATCACAATTTTTTCAGCAAGATCTGTTTAAATCATCATTGCTAGACAGGAGACAACAAAAATAAGATCTGCCATTTGGTTGCCATCCAGGTGTACTACGTAATTTATGCTCCCAGAGTTATGCACCGGGATGTATCATTCTAGTAATTACAGCACCAGTAACTACTTTTGTAACAGGAAGAAATGTTGGCTCTCTAAATGCTGCTGAACAACAAACTCCCAGCCTCAGTCTCCCCAGGAACAAAAGTGAACAATGCTGGGCATTATATTCTGTAAAAATCTGAAGAGTCACAAATTTCACAACTCTCTCTCTCTTAAGAGCCTTTTCTCACTTGCATCCGCACAAGTGTGTCCCAGCAACCTCTTTTTTTTTCCTGCTGTGATCTCACAACATTGCCATCATATGATTCCTGCCCCATCTCTGAAGCAACCTTAAGTCATTTTTATCAGTGTTCAGATAGAGTCTCCCCCCCCCCCCACCTCCACATTTTCTCAGGGATGCAATTTGACACACTTCACCAACTATTTTCTCAGTGATCCAGACAGGTGTCTTTTAAGGAATGGGACCGGTTCATGACTCTTGGCTACTTAGACTGGTGCGGTGGAAGGGTACAATTCTTTCACGTGGCTTCCACCTCATAATTAGCTGGCAGATCAGCCTGAATACTGTTGACCAGCAGTGGTATTGGGAGTCTATAGAATGAAGCAGGAGAATGTCTATGGAGCAAGGATGGGATTCAAAAATTTTAACAACCGGTTCTGTGGGCATGGCTAGGTGGGCGTGGCTAGCTGGGTATTGCCGTGTGACTGAGTGGGCGTGGCTTCTTCTTTTTTGCAGCAGCATGCACACACACCCTGCACGCTCTGTTTTGGGGCCTCCTGGGCTTCAGGGAAGCCTCCTGGGGGGCGTTTTTGCTCCCAGAAGGCTTCTCTGAGGCCCAGTAAGGCAAAAAATGGACCTCGTGCACCCCTTTTTGCCTCCTGGGCTTCAGGGAAGCCTCCTGGGCAAAGCAGTAAGACAGTGAGGGGGATCCCAGCACAGCTGATCATTGGAACAGCTAATCGTTGGGAGGGAAAAAAAGAAATACCTTAAGGAGTGACTGGGCAAGGGAGAATGCAGTCAGCGATGTTGCACATGCGCATGATGTTGTACATGCATGATAAGGACTGACTGGGCAGGGAGGGGAGGGGCGGGCAGAGAGGGGCAGGGCCAGCCAGGGGCATAATTTGCCGGTTCTCTGAACTGTGCAGAATCATAACAACCGGTTCTCTAGAACTGGTCTGAACCGGTAGAATTCCACCCCTGCTATGGAGATTCTCAGTCATCCAGGTCATGGTTCAGCAAAATGTCTTCAAAGAAAAAAACCCAGAAAGTCCAGTTGCCACTTGAAAAAGCACCTTTGGAAGAATCAGGGGAATGTTCTTCTCAAATAAAAGGTGATTGTCAGTGTTTTGTGGACACATATTTAGTTCTATTCTGGAATAGTGCTAAACCCAAGTCCAAATGAATCCTGACAATCAATAGATATCTGCTGAACATCAGATTCCTTTTGAAGGAACCCATGCAAAATGTTTGGACCAATACAAATTGAGTTTTGATAGGGAGCTAAATTTGCCAGCCTAACCATCTCTTAAACTTCACCCACACCTCCTATCCATGGTTCTTTTTTTAGTTAAAGAGAACAATAGGTGAATACTTTCTGTGAATTGGTGATGTTTGGTGGAAAGGGAGGCAAACAAAGCCATAAGAATCCACTTACCTCTGGTCTTATTGTGTTCTGAACTACATAAATAAGGACAACTCCATGCAAGGACTAGTGGCTAAGGCTTCAACTCAGATTTAGTGCTCACAGTGAGATTATCACTTGGCAGGCAAGGCGATCATACAGTTGTGCAGATGGGAGTAATCTGAATGGAACTGTCTATTCAATGCAAATGATCAAAACAATTCAGTTCAAATTAGTAAATTAATTCTATAGGATTCAGGTGGTTGGTCAAATCAATTCAGTTGGGTTTCCAAACTGTTCAGAAAAGGCTATCACCTGGGTTGCCAGGATTTTTGCCTTAAGCATAAATCTCCCATAAAATAAAAGGAACCCCTGTCCCTCAATAGCTGAATTTGTTCAAGAGAACTGTAGGGAAGGCATGGGCAATCAAACAGGTGGATCAAAATCTGCAAAATTATAGGCATGGCATTGGATTCAGAGCTTAACCCTTTTGGTATGTGCAGTGCATGTACACATACATACATACATACATACATACATACATATGGAGAATCTTCAATCCTGATGTCTCTCCTACAGATGTTGAATCCCTGTAGATGCCAATGGTCACTGAGAGAGGCATAGTTAATTTGAAACTTCTCCACTCACTCTTAGCCTTTTGCTTATTCCAGAGAGAAATTTCTTGGTGCCATCTCAGTCAAGAACCCTTCCCAAACTGAACCAAAGTCCAGCCAATGTAACTCATAAGTGCCCCGAGGCCTACTAGGATCTTCTACAAAGCTGAATGATTTCTCTCCCATTGCATCCAGACCTCTCTTCCCTTTTCTTCAGTCAGTCAGGAAGAAGGCTGATTACCCTACCTAGTGGCTAAAGCAGGTGTTATATTTCACCAACCACCTATAAGGTGCGCAAAAGCCAGTCAGGAAGAGCAAGATGAAAGAGGCAGGCAATGATTAGCATACCAGCTGAAAAGCCTCCAGGTGTTTGCTTGCCAGAATACAGG